GAGGGACACTATGCGCTGCTGGGCCTTCTCGAATGACGAACCGCTGGTAGCCAACTGCCTCGAGACGTACGCGTCCGTGCGCGTAGCCAGCACCGTGCCCAAGAACATGTCATCTCCGACGGCGCCGCTGATCATCCACGCGCGGCTGCCAGCAACCCGCTTGTCCTGCTCCTCTTTGAACGCGTTCTCGTCGTCGGCGTCTGCTCCGCCCTCAGCGCCTGGGCCGCCGACCGAAGGCGCAGGCCGATCGTCGCCGCCGCCGTCGCCTCCAGCAGCAGCCCCGCCGCCTCCAGCAGCAGCAGCAGCAGCCTCAGGGCGGGCACCAGCGGCCCCGCGCGGCGCCTTGGGAGCCTTCCCAGGCATCGCGCGCAGGTACGATGCCTGAAAGATGCCATGAACAGCAGCTGGCACGCCAACACATCTGTGGCTCCGTGTCTTGTTGACCCAGTTGGCTCTGTTCAGAACGTCAATCCTGCCGAACAACGCTGGGGCGCCGTACCGCCGCATCAAGAACAACGTGTGCCGCGGCGATTCGCAGCACCCTCTGCAGTAGTGCTCGATGACGCCGTGCTTACGGATGTCGCCTTTGTACAGGCGGGACACCACCTCCCTGCGATACACAATGGTCGGGTCATCGCTGTCGAAGTACAGCTTCCATATGGCATCGCGGTGTGCAGTGGCATCCGCTGGAGGCACACCCCGCTTGACCACGAGCTGTTCTCCATGGAGCAGCCTGGCATGGCGCCTCAATCCCAGGAGATGGCCCCCTGTCAACGACATCTGGCAGCGAACGAGGTTCGTGTCGAAAGGCCGAATCGTCTTGAGCGAATTCTCAGCGACCTTCTTTTTCTTGTGCGCACGGCACAGGAAATCAATCTGAGCTCGGAGAGGCATCGTCTCACGAAAGGCGCGTTCAGAGCGCAGGTTGCCGCTGGCAGCGTCGCAGCAGGCGACGTCGACCTGCCGAGGGAACCTCAGGTCCACCATGCGATCCCAAGGCAAATCCAGCTGGTCGCGCAACGCCGCGTGAATGACCTCTGCAGCGCTCCCTTCCAGCACGCTGAGACGCGCGGGCACGGTGCCGCACCCGTGCAAGAATTGGCATGCATCACCATGCCGCCGACGCATCACGACGCCGAACTCGCCCTTCACGACGAAGATCTCGCGCGAACCGACGGTCCGCTCCTCGATGACGTCGTCGTCGTACACCATGGACGCAGTGGTGCCGAGCCTCATGCGCGCCCCGTCGTACTTCCGCTTCCTGAAGAAGACCAAGGGTGTAACGACGGGCGCGGTCTCGTCACGAGACCTAGTCGCAGCAAGAACTCGGCTCACGAGCGAGACGACTTGCGTCTGGGCAGCGGCAAAGGCAGCGTGGGCCGTGCATCGCAATTTCGGCACACCCTCTCACGCATTCCGTCACCCTCTTGGAAGGCACCTTGCGGGCGCTGCGTGGGGGCCCCTTGCAGTGACCTGAGAACCCGCTGAAGCGGCCATCAGCAGGGCCCATTGCAAACACATGTCTGGGGACTCAGTTGGGGGGGTCCCACTCGAGTTCACGCTGGGGAGGTCCCACTCAGTTGGGGGGGACTCAGTTGGGGGGGTCCCACTCATTTGGGGGGGGGACACTCGGGTTCACGTTGAGGGGGGACTCAGTTGGGGGGTCCCACTCAGTTGGCTATGCCAATTGTTTCGCCAACCGCCACCCCCTCCAGTAGGAGGAAAGGACAAGCCCACTTTCTCGGAATACGAAATACCTCTCCCCGTCCTCTCCCAACAAACAAAAATGAGCATCACCTTTTCCAGGACCCCCCGAGCGGTCCATCAGACCCCCTACTCCGAAAGGCTGCGCCCGACGAGAGCGCCATCAGACCCCCATCTCGAAAAGGACGCCGCTGAGGGCATCAAAACCCATCAAACGCCCCAAGACAGAGTAGGCTGCCATGGAAGTCTCAACGCTACTATCGTATCTGGTTCATGGCCGACGATGACCCCCGCGTGCTCACGGACGCAGATGCGAATAGCCACGGCGGGGAGCTGGCCTGGGCGGAGAGATGGTTGGCCCAGGGCCGCAAGAGCTTCGGTTGCGGGCAGGCGCCCGACGTCAAGGCGCTCGCGCCGTCTGGCCCTCAACAAGATCATCATCGTCGTCTAGCCCTCAACACATCATCATCGTCATCGCGATCGTCGCGACCAGAATAGAAAAACACACACAGACATGAGGTTCCCACTCATTTGGGGCCGCCATTTGGGGCCATGCGCCCGCGAACGTGGGGCCATGTTCCCGTCACTTCCCGGCCGTGCTCCCATTGCTTCCGGCTGCCCCGAAAGGCGTTCCCCGGAAATGCTCCCGCTATAATGCGCCCGGGGGGGCGTTCCCGTGGACGGGTTTGTGGCGCGCTCCCGCTGACGGGTCCCGCGACGGCCCTGCCTGTCAACTCGCGCGGGAACTCACAGGAGCATCACAGTGGGGGGCAGCTTTCTGAAAGCCGCGCCGCGCGGACCAGGCGGCGGCGGAAATGGGGGAGCCCCTCCGGGCGCCAGCGTCATGACTGGCCCCCGCCCTGGCGGGCGAAGGGAGCCCTCGATCCCGCCCTCGAGCGGGACCCGCCGTCCCCGGTCGAGCCGCGAGGCACGAGGCGCAGGGCGCGGCGGGCTGGACAGGCCAAGGGCCACGCCCGCAAACTCCTCGACCCCGTGCGCTCACGAGCGCCTTCGTGCCGACGTGATCCGCGAAGGGGCCCTCAGAGGTCGCGCCCGCGGGGGCGCCAACCCCCCCTCCTCGTTTGAAGGGGCCCCAGGACACACACATAGATACACACACATAAAAACAGTCCCCATATGTTCCCATAGTTTCTGGGTGTTTGTCTTCCCCCACTTCCCATCTTTTCCCATCTTTCCTAGGGGATCGACGATTCATTGGGTCTGTGTTTTGTTTTTGTTCCCTCTTGATCGTTCCCCCCTCGCCACATCCCGTGGCCGCTCCGCGGCGCGCGGCGCGCGGGGGCGCGGCCCGCTTCCAACGCGGCCCGCCGGGCCCCCCGCCTCCCGCCTCCGCGCGGCCCGCCGGCCGCGAAGGGTCGGTGGGTGGCAAAAGCAGGGGGCCGGCGGCGGCGGCGGCGGCGAGCAAGCCGCGGAGGAGGTCGAGGGCGGCGCGGCGCGCTCGACGGGGCAGCTCGGACAGGCGCCGCCCACGCCCAGGCCGACGGGCGCGACCTGAAGGACAACATCGCAAAAGGTCAGGAATGAAAAGCCGGGCCGCGTGAGCCATGGCAGATACGACAACAAGAAGGACGACGAGGGCACGACGTCGCGGAAACGGTTCGAAGAGTCTGTGCTCGCGAGGATCAGCGCCGACAAGAAGGGCAGGGTCAGCGCGAAAGCGCAGGGCACGGAGCTCGTGATCGATGAGGACACGGACCTTGACGAGGAGCTCATGGATGCGCGAAGGCTCCTGCGTGAATCGACCATCACGGTGAAGAATTCCTCCGCGAGCTCCGCCTTGTTCGACAAAGCGCCGGCTTTCAACGACGACATCTTGGCGGCCTTGCTGAACACGGCGCTCGGTCCAGACATTATTTTATGAGAATCCTTCTGCAAACTCTTGATGCCATGGGGATATGGAAGTACGTGGCCATGCGCGACATGGGCACCTCGACAAGGACCCACGTGAAGGCGCTGGTAGACACAATCGACGCATCTGGTCAGCGAGTGTACACGTCCTCGAAGGGTGCCCAAACCAAGCTCGGCACGTCAGGCTGCCGCACCGCATCATGGACGCACTGCGAAGCGCTTCTACTTACCGACTCTTCCGACTTGCGCACGGCCTTCCGAAACGTCGCCGTGCGGTGAAGGGAAAGACACGAGAAGCAGGCGCACGACTGCAAGGCACGTCAATGGTACAGAAATAGAATTGACCCTGGTTAATTGACAACGGGAACACGTGTATAACGAGTCGGCAGTTAAGGAGTTGCGATGTCTCGGCGTTATCTGCTTCGTGTGGCTTCTGGCAATGGTCATTTAATGCCTTGGCCTCCCTCCTCCCCCTAGTTCCTCTAGCACGCTCCCTTCACCCCTCCCTTCTTGCGGAAACCAACGTTTGCTGCAAGACCTTCCATGTTGGCCTCCGCATGCGAGGACGCAAGCGTGCAGCGCTGTCCCGGTAGCCGGAGGTGCGTGGTACCCTTCCACGCTTCCTTTAGCGCGTTGACGGTGTACAGTCATCGTAGCGCCAGGCTGAATCCAAATCAGTCCTTGGATGGGGCTCTTGGGAGGCTCAGCAATCACACCAAAACTTCTGCGTTCCTCCCCCCCCACACCCCCCACGCGCTGAGCATCTGTCCATATCCACCGAGTTAGATCCGTGCTCCCGACAATCTCGAAAAGCCCAGGCCCCGTCCAGGAACCCTGGGTGACTCCGGAACGCTTGGGTACGCTGGCGGTGGCAGTTCTTTGGGCGTTTGCCTTTGAGATTGCCGCCTTCACACTGTTCTCCATCGGTGGATTCGCCCTCGTTCGACTCCCGCTGGCTTCTGCCGGCCCTCAGTCAGCTCCCGCCGAGGACGAGGCGTCACCTTCTCGATCTCTTGATCACGAGCGATCGGGGATCTTCTGACCCAGGTCAATCCAGACCCGGGTCAGCGGGAAACCAAAAACTGCAATGCAGGACAAAAAACTGCAACGCAGATCTTCGCAAACCCGGGTCAGCCAATATGCGCGGCCGCCTCGCGGCCACGAACGGCTCGCTAACCCGGGTCAGCCAGAGAGGGTCTTCGCAGGATCCTGCAGGATCCGGTGCCCTGGCTGACCCCCGTTTGCATTGACCCCCGTCTCGAGGTTCCCGAAACGAAGCCTGTCACGACCCGCCGGGGAGGAGGAGGAGGAGGAGGAGGAGGAGGAGGAGGAGGAGGAGGAGGAGGAGGGAGGAGGAGGAGGAGGAGGAAGAGGAGGAGGAGGAGGAAGAGGAGGAGGAAGAGGAGGAGGAGGAGGACGCACAATGCCTGGGACTGCACCGAGCGCCTCTCCATGCCGCTCAGGACCGCGATCCTGCGGGAGAGCGCCGCGGCAGGGCACGGCGGAGGGAGGGCCGAGAGGGCGGGCTCTCCATCGACGGAAGCAACAACAGGAGGAGGAGGAGGAGGAGGACGAGGAGGAGGAGGAGGAGGAGGAGGATAAAGAGAAAGAGGAGGAGGAGGAGGAGGAGGAGGAGGAGGAGGAGGAACGCACGTTTTTTCGGAGGCCCGCGCGGCGTTCCTGGATCAGCGCTGGACCCCCCTCCCTCGGGCAACCCGACGCGAGCCCCACTCCCCTGCGGGGTCGATTCCTGAGATGTCGCCAGGGGTTCAGAGTGTGAGGGGCGGTAGAGGGAAGCAATGACTGAACACTCCCCCTCCCCCCAAACTCAATGTTGGCACGCGCGGGGGAGACTGCGGTCGAAGTGCATCTCATCTTGCCCACCGCCAACTTTGAACATTGGGGGAGGGGGAGGCGTTGACGGATGAATGTGGCATGAGTGTTCGCTGAGTTGTTCCGAGGCCTGGATGTCAGCTGCCAAGTGGACCCCCGCAGGGGTGTCCGACACCCCAGCGGCGATTGGTGGCAGGGTTCGCGAGTGGTCGCAGACCCCCCGCGCGCCTCCGGCGCCAGGGGGGGGCCCAACGCCGATCCAAGAAACCCGAGCGGAGCTCAGAGAATTTGTGCCTACAATCGGACCCAAGACAGAAGAACATCCTCCAAGACCATGAGACCTTCCGCCAGCCAAAACTGAAGAACATGCGAGGGCAGCCTTCTCCCAATATGCACAAGAACATCCAACAAACACGACTAACATTAGGGTACCCTCCCCGAACCGACCGCGATCTTATACCTCGCTCCGGTAGTACACCTTGGCGGCGAGCGAGGGGGGGGTATGAATGAGAAGGCCTTCTCAGCAGGCGACGGGGCTTCTGAGAGGTTTCCTGTCTTCGGGGAAGGCTTAGAAGACTTCTCAGAAGGCCTGGGGGGTTCCGAGCCTTCTGAAAAGGCCTTCTCCTTCTCACTTCCCCCCCTCGCCCGCCGCCGAACACCGTTTTGCGTCATCTGGCCCACCCCCCTCGCGCTGCGAGCAAACATCAATACCGACTGTCGTTTACCAGCCTTTTTCTGCCTCTGGTGGCCCATCACTGGAAACAGCAGGCCTGTCAAACACGACTCGGGGCAGGGGCTCGGTATCAGGAGAAAGTTAGGTCGGGCATGTCCCCCTTCAGGAGGATTTTGGGGCCAAAAATGAAACATAGGCAACACACACACACACACACCCAAATCGTCAAACATAGTAGAAAAAATCGTCCCCATACTATGTTTCCACTGTCTTTGAATATTCCTCCTGCAGAGGGACACGCCCGACGTGAGGATCAAAGGGCCAGACCTCCGAGGGAGCGGTGCCCAGCGGAGGAGGCGCTCAGCACAAGAAGGGGGAGCCCCCCGCCCCTCGGCATTCGGGCCCTCGAGCAGCTCTCCGCCCCGCGCGCGGAGAGGGCCCCCCCCCGCCGCCCCTCCTGGCCCTCGAGCAGCTCTGCTTCCCGCGCGCTGCAAAGGGTGAGCCCCCCCCCCCCCCGAGCTTTCGACCCTTCCTCTTCCCCGCGCGCTGAACGCCTTCCCCCTCCCCGCGGCTTTCGAGCCGCTCTCCTCCTCCCGCGCGCTGCAGCGGGCATGCTCCCAACAAAAACATCCAGCGCCCTCCTCTGTCTTCGCCGCGTGGCCCACCAAACGCTCTCTATCTCGACCCGACGCTCGAAGGCCCCACGGCTGGAGACTACGCATCCGGCGCCGAGCACGGCGAGAGACCTCCGCCGCTCTCCTTCGCGTCGCCGGAGGGCTGGGGCCTCCAGGGCTCTGGACCACCCGGGCTGGTCACTCTCCCGGGTCTGCTCCTCTCTCTACTCCTCGATCGCGATCGCACAATCTTCCTCCTGCCCCTCGGTCGCCCAACCTCCTTCTCGTTCCACGGGAACTCCTTCCTCTCTTCCTCGTCGCTGCTCCCTTTCGGTGCCCCCCCCCCCCGCCTCCCCCCCCCCCCGTCCTTCCCCACGTCTTGCCGCTCTGCTTCTCGTCGCGCAGCACCTGCAGCCGAAGGTTCCGTCCCTCCTCCCTCCCCCCTCCTCTGCCTCCTCCTTCTTGTCCCTCCTCCTCAATCCTCTTCTCCTCCTCCTTCCTCCTCCCCCTCCTTCCACATCCTCCGTCTCCTCAACATTCACCCTCCTCCTCCTCCTCCTCCTCCTCCTCCTCCTCCATCACCTTCTCCTTCCTTTTCATATTATTCCATCATCTTTGCTTCATTTCTTCCTGCTGCTCCTCCTCCTCCTCCTTCCACCTCCTTTCCCCTGCCCCTTCCTCCTTCAACCTCTTCTGCTGCTGCTGCTCCTCATCCCTCCACCCTTTCCTTCTCCCTCTTTCCCCTGCCCCTCCTTCCTCCTCGTTCCTCCTCCTGTCCTGCCCCCTCTTTCCATGCCCCTCGTCTTCCTCCCGTTCTTCCAGCGTCCCGTAATCCTCCTTCTCAATCCTCCTATCCTCCTCCTCGTCTCTCCCGTTCCTGCCTCGTCCTGGACCATCCCTCCTCCGCCCAATCCATCCCGTTCGATCCTACTGCTTCCCTGTCGTACCTCCTCTTAGACCTTCCACCTACCGGCTCAGGGTGGCCCATAGTATAACGTCCGCATACCGTTCAATCCGTTCCTCCATTATGCTCGATGTAACAGATGTAGGTCCGCGACTGTGCCGCAGAGAACGGCGTGGGCGTGCTCTCAATTCTTTTGCCCAATCCCCTGAGCCTGAGTCCTCGATCCTGAGGGATCCCCTTGGGCTTGCCGCGGCTTTCACATTGGGCTTCGACCGCGGCTTCCCACATGCTTCCCGCGGCTTCTCGCGTGACTTTGTCGGGCCCAAGGGGGCTCCAAGACGGGCCAAGAGAGACTCAAGAGGCTTTCATGACGGCCCAAGGGGGCCCCGAGACACCCAAAGATCGCCCCAAGTCGCCCAAGATGGACCCACGATGCCCATGAAGCTTACAAGACGCCCCAAGAGGCTTTCCAGAGGCCCCCGAAGAGGGCACCAATAGGCCAGCATCCGTTTTTGTAGTAGTATTATTATTCTTATTCGTATTCTTCTCATTCTTACTCTGATTAGTATTATTATTCTTCTTATTATTATTATGATTAGTAGTAGTAGTAGTAGTAGTAGTAGTAGTAGTAGTAGTAGTAGTAGTAGTAGTAGTAGTAGTAGTAGTGGTAGTGGTAGTAGTCGTATTATTGGTATTATTGTTGTATTATTAGTATTATTACCATCATCATCATCATTATTATTATTATGATTGTGATTATTAGTATTATTATCACTATTATTTTTATTATTAGTATTATTCGTAATGCTCGTATTATTAGTATTATTATCATGGTTCTTACTACTAGTGTTATTAATATTAGTCTTTTTATTATCATCATTATTATTGTTATTAGTAGTAGTAGTAGTAGTAGTAGTAGTAGTGGTGGTGGTGGTGGTACTAGTAGTAGTAGTAGTAGTAGTAGTAGTAGTAGTAGTAGTAGTAGTAGTAGTAGTAGTAGTAGTAGTAGTAGTAGTAGTAGTAGTAGTAGTAGTAGTAGTAGTAGTAGTAGTAGTAGTAGTAGTAGTAGTAGTAGTAGTAGTAGTAGTAGTAGTAGTAGTAGTAGTAGTAGTAGTAGTAGTAGTAGTAGTAGTAGTAGTAGTAGTAGTAGTAGGAGTAGTATTGGTATTGTTACTATTCGTAGCATTCTAACTATATTTTTGCTTAAATGTTAAAAAGCAGTGTTTTTTCGCCTGTTCGGCTGCCCTACGCTCCAAGACTGCCCAAGAGGCCCCCACGGTCGCCCCATGACAGCCCCAAGAGGCCCCGAGGCGGGCCCCAACGTGGCCCAAGAGGGCCCCAATGACGGCCCAAGGGGCCCCAAAGGCGGTTCCAAGAGGGCCCCCGATGGGGGCCCCGAGCGGACACCTGGAGCCCTCGGCTCGCCGCCAAGAGGCGCCCAAGAGGCCCCAAGGGGCCCCCAAGAGGCTATTTCAAGGAGCCCCCAACAGATCCCCAAAGCTGTCCCCGAGAGGCCTCCGAGAGCGCTCCGAAGAGGCCCCGCGAAGCATCCCCGAGGACTCTGGCCCGCAACCCGGGCAAGGTGGCGGGATGGGCCGAAAGTCATTCATTCTCCAAATACATGTAACACATGCGTGTAAACATAAGGATATTCGCGTGCTTGCCTCTTCAAGGGAGGAATCATGTTCCGCCCCCTGCACCTTTACTTCGCATCACCCGTGCGACTGTTCCGTCCCTGATTGCTGTTTCATCACGTGAACCCCACCAGCCATCTGGAACTAGCTCTTCCAATCTCGCTAGTCCTTATTGGTATACACCCCTACTCAACCAGCTAGCCGGCAGATAGGGGGCACATCCGGGAACCTTCATCCTACGTGTGAGAGAGAACCATACAAAACCGATGATGTCCGCATCAACGTTGGCATTATGTGGTCCGTGTGGCAAAAGGCGTGGCGAACGCGGGGGGCGGCGCAAATCCCGCGCGAAAGGCCGAAAAGCTGTTACCGCCTCTGGTTAGCAACAATCAAAGGACCCCTAATCCTTTCGGAGGGGACCTCAGTCAGGAGGACCTAAACATCTGGGATTGGGGGCCTGTTCTGCTGATGTATCGAACCGAACCGTCCGGAATGATTGCCCCCAGTGCAAAGGCGGGGGTCTGGGTGAGGCCACGTCTTCACTGTGTTATTCGGGTCAGGAGTTCTTGTATTCTCGATGACCCTCGGCGCCGCGCTCCTCCATCCTCTGGAGAACTGGAGTTCCCGCTAGGGCGTGGCGCACATCTCGGCGCCGCGCAGATTTTGATTTTTTTCCCCCTTAGGAGTTCTCTGGTGGCTCGCGGGTTCCCTGGGCCACGGGCAGTGAGCGATCTACACGCTTCCCGCGACAGCTGGCCCATGCCAGAAGCCGAACGGCGGAGGAGGCCACGAGAAGGCGCGAGGCGGCGGCTATCAGATTAATGAAGTGCTGCGGCGACACCTGTGGATTACACTACAGGGTCAACCCGAAACTCG